GCACGCACACACACATATATTGGTACTGGGGCTTGAGTTCAGGGTCCAGCACTGTCCCTTAGCTTTTTCACTCAAGGCTGGCGCTCTACCACTTGAGCCACAGCCGTACTTCTAGCTTTGTGCTGGTTAATTGGAGATAAGATTCTCATGGACTTTCCTACCCAGGCTGGCTTCCAACTGTTATTCTCAGATCTCAGCCTTCTGGGTAGCTAAGATTACAGGTGTGAGCCACTGTCACCCCACTGAAAACCAACCATTTTACATGCATTTTTCTTCTTAATCTTTAAGACAATCCTGTGAAATTGGTCTGCAATATAGAGGTGGCTTGCATGGTGGTATCTGCCTTTGTAGTCTAGTTATTTGGGAGGCTAAGGGATATCACTTTAGCCTATGAGTTTGAGGTCATTTTGGGCAATGTAGTGAGACCCCAGTCTCAAAAAAAGTACGTAGTTACTAGTACATTTTTTACTTTGCCAGAAACTATCAGCTGTTAGGACTAACACCTGTCTGACAGTGGTATTAGACTGTCATTTGTGAGAAGCAGCCCAATTTCAAAAGATTAAAATGTGGGCTGGGAATGTGGCTTAGTGGTAGAGTGCTTATCTAGCATGCATGAAGCCCTGGGTTCAATTCCTCAGTATCACATAAACAGAAAAAGCCGAAAGTGGTGCTGTGGCTCAAGTGGTAGTTTGTTTATTGCCAGTCCTGGGGTTTGAACTCAGGGTGTAGGCACTGTCTCTGAGCTTCTTTTGTTCAAGGCTGGAGCCACAGCACCACTTCTGTTTTTTTCTATTATGTGGAGTATGTCTACTGAGGAGTCAAACCCAAAGCTTCATGCATGCTAAGCAAGTACTCTACCACTAAGCCACATTCCCAGCTCAAAATTTATTTTTTTTAATTACATATTTTCAGCTGGACTGCATAAATAAAATCCCAGGAGGTTGAGATCTGTAAGACTGCAGTTTGAGGCCAGCCCCAACAGAAGAATTTACTAGACTCCTTTTTTTTTTTAACATTTTTAACCAACAAAAAGCAGGCCTGGAGCCATAGCTCAGAGTAGTATAGCATCAGTGCAGCAAAGCAGAAGGCTCTGTAGTTTAAAACAGAGAATCACATAGGATAGATGTATAGATAGATAGGTTTCTGAGAATGTAGGTGCTGACTACTTATTACAAAGCATTTAGTAAATGCCAACCACCTTTCTAAACACTTTATATAATACATGATTTGATTCTTACCACAACCCTATAATATGGTATGTGTCATATCCCAAACAGTTGAGCTGGTACATTGTTACACGTATCCCCGTTGTACAGTTGAGAACATTGAGTTACAGAGACTGGATCATTAGTCACTGATGTCAAATAGTCATAAATATGACTGGCCATTAAGATCAGATCTGAAGCCACTGGTATAGACCCCCAGGAGAATCTGTCAGGAGAGAAGACCACAGATTGATAAAGACCTGTGGAAGTCTCTCCATGGAGCCTGATTTTAGTCAAATAGCCAGGAGTGAAGATTGCTGAGAGTGGTCAGTTACTTAGTGTCTGGGAATGGGTCTTAATGGTTGTTTGGAGCTAATTAGCTCTCACTTTGTCCTCCTTTGGGAACCAAGATGGTATCTATTCCAATTCTTTTCCAACTTGTGTTGCTGTGTGGTAAAGGCAGAAAAGAAGAGACTGAATTTTGTGTGTGTGTGTTTAAAAAAAAAAAATCCCTGTCTTCCTATAGATGGATGGAGAAGGGTTGCTTAACGAGGAATTGCCAAATTGCTGGGAGTGTCCAAAGTGTTACCAGGAAGACAGCTCAGAGAAATCCCAGGTAAAGGACTATATCCATACTGCCTTTGTAACAGGAAAGTAAATGTCAGGTCTGGGAAATTGCTGCCTGTAATATAGACAAATTATTTGTTTGATTCCCCCCCCCTTGGTTTTATTGTTGTTGTTTGGGGGAGGTTTTGTTTTTGTTGTCTGTGAGCATGTTTGTTTGTTTACATATTTATTGTCAGCTGTGGGGCTTGAACTCAGGGGCCTGGGCTTTCTCCCTGAGAGAGCCTCAGTGAGCCTCTTTGTGCTCAAGGCTAGTGCTCTACCACTAGAGCCACAGCACCACTTCCTGTTTTTGAGTGGTTCATTGGAGATAAGAGTCTCTTCATAGGTACTCTCTGCCTGAGCCAGCTTTAAACCACAATCCTCAGATCTCAGCCTGAGTTCTTGGGGTTTTTTTTTTTTTTGTCGGTTGTGGGTCTTGAATTCGGACTGGGCGATATCCCTCAGCTCTTCAGCTCAAGGAGAGCCCCCTACCACTTGAGCCACAGTGCCACTTCCAGTTTTCTGAGTGATTTATTGGAGATAAGAGTCTCACGGAGTTTTTTGCCCCAGCTGGTTTTGAATCGTGATCTTCAGATCTCAGCCTCCTGAGTAGAATTACAGGCGTGAGCTACTGATACCTGGCTGGGAGTTGCTAGATTTTGCTTTTTATATAACAAAATGTTGTTGAACTTGGGGTCCACAAATGCTGGAAGTCCTTGCTATATGTTCTGTGGCCCTAGAGAGGGCGGAACCACCTTTAGGCTGTTGGGAAGGAAAATTAGGTAATATGCAGTTCTCTCTTGAGGACTGTAACTGGAGGAGAGGCTGTAACAGGCTGCTGGTGTTTTCCAGAATGTGTGCTAGAGATTCCAGTTAAGCCAGTTCACATTTTTGTCATCTTCACCTTTTTTGGCCTCACAAAAGACCTGCCTATTCCACGTGCTCCAATGTGCCATTCAAAGACAATCCCACCCCCAGGGGAGGTAGGGACTGGCTCTGTGACCTTGGTCAAGGTAAACTAATTTTGTTGGTCCAGTAATTACAATGGGCCAAAATGACGGGTTGCTGACCAAGGCTAGATAAGATCTGCTGAGAGGGGCTGGGAAGGTGACTCAGTGGTAGAGTGCTTGCCTTGCATGCATGAGGCCCTGGGTTCGATTCCTCAGCACCACATAAGCAAAAAGAAAAAAGCCGGAAGTGGCGCTGTGGCGCCTTGATATAGTGTTTAGGCCCAAAGTTCGGTCCACGACCAGTAAAAAAAAAAAAGCCGGAAGTGGCGCTGTGGCTCAAGTGGTAGAGCGCTAGCCTTGAGCTGAAGAGCTGAGGGACAGCGCCCAGGCCCAGAGTTAAGGCCCACGACCCGACCCAAAAAAAAAAAAAAAAATCTGCTGAGAGCATTTAAAAGAGGTGACCACTCTAGTGTCTGTACAAGTGGGGAAGTAGATATAGGAGAATGTCCTTATCTTCTCTTTTTTTGGTCAGTCCAACTCTGGGCTTTGCGCTGTCCCTCAGCTCTTCAGCTCTAGGCTAGCTTTTTACCACTTGAGCCTCAGCACCACTTCCGGTTTTCTGAGTGGTTTATTGGAGATAAGAGTCTCACAGACTTTCCTGCCCAGGCTGGCTTTGAACCTCAATCCTCAGATCTCAGCTTTCTGAGTAGCTAGGATTACAGGAGCGAGCCACCGGTGCCCTGCGAATGCCCTTATATTTTTTACTTAGGAACTGAGTTAGTGAAAAGTTTTAATCTCCCTAGCTACTCAGGAGGCTGAGATCTGAGGATCAAGGTTCAAAGCCAGCTCAGCCAGCCCGGGCAGGAAAAGTATGTGAGATTCTTATGTCCAATAAGCCACTCAGAAAACTGGAAGTAGGGGCTGGGAAGGTGGCTCAGTGGTAGAGTGCTTGCCTTGCATGCATAAGGCCCTGGGTTCAATTCCTCAGCACCACATAAACAGAAAAAGCCGGAAGTGGCGCTGTGGCTCAAGCGGTAGAGCGCTCGCCTTGAGATAGTGTCTAGGCCCAGAGTTCAGGTCCACGACCAGCAAAAAAAAAAAAGAAAACTGGAAGTAGCACTGTGGCTCTAATGGTGGAACTCTGGCCTTAAGCTGAAGAGCTGAGGGACAGCTCCCAGGCCCAGAGCTCCAAGACCAAACAAAAAAAAAAGTTGGGCACTGGTAATTCGTGACTATAATCCTAGCTACTCAGCAGGCTAAGATCTGAGGATCACAGTTCAAAACCAGCTGGGGCAGGCTTCAAGACTCTAATCTTCAATAAACTACTCAAAAACCAGAAGTGAAACTGTGGCTCAAATGGAAGATGCTAGCCTTGAGCACAAAAAAGCTCAGGGACAGTGTCTAGGCCCTGAGTTCGTCTAACATTAGACATAGACATATCATTTGGGTGAAAGAGCAAAATTAGGCTGGGCACTGGTAGCTCATAATCCTAGCTTCTGAGATCTGGGGATCTCAGTTCAAAGCCATCCCTGGCAGTAAAGTCTGTGAGACTCTTATCTCTGAATAACTACCAAAAGGCTGGAAGTGGAGCTCAAGTGGTAGAGCACTAGCCTTGACTAAAGGAGCTCAGGGATAGTGCCAGGTCCTAAGGTCAAGCCCCAGGACCAGCAAAAATATGGGGGGGGGGCGCAAAATTAAGAGACTAGAGCCAGATGCTGGTGGCTCTTGCCCATAATCCTAAGCTACTCAGGAGTTAGATCTGAGGATTGTGGTGAGACTCTTACTCCAATTAACCACCAGAAAACTGGAAGTGGTGCTCTGGCTCTGAAGTGGTAAAGTGCCAGCCTTGAGAGGATAAAGTTCAGGGACAGTGCCCAGGCTGAACTCTGGGCCTGGGTGCTGTCCCTCAGCTCTTCAGCTCAAGGCTAGCGCTCTACCCCTTGAGCCACAGCGCCACTTCCGGCTTTTTTCTTTTTGCTTATGTGGTGCTGAGGAATCGAACCCAGGGCCTCATGCATGCAAGACAAGTGCTCTACCACTGAGCCACCTTCCCAGCCCGTGTTGATCTTCTTTAAAGTCTGGGAATGGGAATCTCAGAAATGAAACCCTTTAGGGCCCACATAGTGCTTGCTGTGTTCTCCAGATGGTGACTTGGCCAAGGCCACCCAGGCACCCGGAGAGGACCAGAGTTTAGTTTTTTAGCTTGGCTCCAGAGTATAGAATCAAGTAGCTCATATTTTGGATTTCACTTCTGTACTTGGACACAAACCTTTTTGTCACAGGTAGGTTTCTAATTTCTGATTTTTGCTCCATAAGTAGGATTCTCTTGACACAGACACGAGCTCTGAGAAGATGGTCCTTTCTGGCAGCAGTAACCTAGCTTCTCTCTGGCTGACCCTGTCACTTTAGAACATTTGGGGAAAAGGAAGCACTGATGTAGCTTTTCTGGGTGTGTTTTGTAGAAGCGGAAAATGGAAGAAACCGATGAAGAAGCTGTGCAAGCCAAAGTCCTGCGGCCCCTGCGGAGCTGCGAGGAGCCTCTCACTCCCCCCCCTCACTCCCCCACTTCCATGCTGCAGCTTATCCACGACCCCGTTTCCCCCAGGGGTATGGTGACTCGGTCATCTCCTGGGGCTGGCCCCAGCGACCACCACAGTGCCAGCCGAGATGAGCGCTTCAAACGGCGGCAATTGCTGCGGCTGCAGGCCACAGAGCGCACCATGGTACGGGAAAAGGAGAACAATCCCAGCGGCAAAAAGGAGCTGTCTGAAGTTGAAAAGGCCAAGATCCGGGGATCGTACCTCACTGTCACGCTACAGAGGCCCACCAAAGAGCTCCACGGGACATCCATTGTGCCCAAGCTGCAGGCCATCACGGCCTCCTCTGCCAACCTTCGCCATTCCCCCCGTGTGCTAGTGCAGCACTGCCCAGCCCGAACGCCCCAGCGTGGGGATGAGGAGGGACTGGGGGGAGAGGAGGAAGAGGAGGAGGAGGAGGAGGAGGAAGATGACAGTGCAGAGGAGGGGGGTGCAGCCAGGCTGAATGGCCGGGGCAATTGGGCTCAGGATGGAGACGAAAGCTGGATGCAGCGGGAGGTCTGGATGTCTGTCTTCCGCTACCTCAGCCGCAGAGAACTTTGTGAATGTATGCGAGTGTGCAAGACGTGGTATAAATGGTGAGCAGGGATACACGGGGTCAGATGTAGGGGCATGGGAATAGGTGTCAGGGCTTACATATGAGAGTGGCATGTACCTTGGCATCTGAAGGCTTGTGGGTTCCTCCTGTAAGGAGCAAAGGGGCCCAGCCTGGGTCTTATTAAAGATGTAGTCCATCGTGGCTGAAGATGCCATTAGGGGAATTGGGGCCTTCGCCTCCTTTCCCTGCTGTATGCTTCTCCAGCACTGCTGGAGGGAGGACCACTGATTTGGAGGGTGGATTTGTCAATTCCTGCTAAAATCTCAGGCTCTTGCCGGCCTGAAACTTCCCCCTTACCTCAACATATCACAAACTCATTGGGAGCCTAGGACACCCATCCAAGATGGTGGGCATGCTTTCCAAATGAATTTGAAGATGTTCATAATTCTCCACAACTGTAATTCTCATCCCCCAAAATCTGAATCCAAATTCCTTTGTCCAGCGGGGTCCAGTTGTGAAGCGTCTGGAGACTTAATTGTCCTTGATGAATCCAACCATTTTCTTCTCAAGTTGAACAGACGCTCGTTAAGGAAATCCCTGGGGAATGTTCTCTTGGGTAACTTACAAGAAATGCTACTGAAGAGGCTGGGATGTAAGGATCGCGGTTCAAATCCAGCCTGGGCAGGAAAGTCTGTGAGACTCTTACCTCCAATTTACCAGCAAAAATACAGAAGCCGTGCTGTGGCTCAAGTGGTAAAGCACTAGCCTTGAGGGGAAAAAAATGCCCAGGGACAGTGCCCAGGCCCTGAGTTTAATCCCCAGGACCAGCACAGACAGAACAGAACAGAAATGCAGGTTTTCAGAGCCCATCCCAGACCTGCTGAATCCATCTCTGGGGCAGGCCTGGAGCATACTCTCCCACGCCCTCTTTTAAGGGATACTGCTGTGTGCTCAAGTTGGAGAAGCTCTTCTACCATAGAAGTTTGATGTGCCATGGGTAAAATTTTGTTCAAACAATAAATAACCCTATTCTTTTGTCAGTAAGAGTTTATGTTCCAAATCAGAATTAATATGTAATTACCCAAATTCTTTTTTGATACAGTTTGTGGCCCTGTCTGTCTCTACCCCTTGTTTTTCAGGCCACCATCCATAAGACTTTCATTGTGTGCATGTCTCACTGTCTCCTGCCAAGCAGACTGAGCCAGGCTTGGGGGCAGGGACTATAAAATTCTAAGTGGAAGTTTGCTTGGTGCAATGCTGTCTGTAGCATGTGGATTTGTAGACTGCAGTGGAAAGGCAGGCCTCTCCTTTTAGTTCTGGCCTGGACTGACTAGAAAATGTGAAGCTACTGCTGAAGCAGAAACCTGAGGGTGGAAGAGGACTCTTCTAGGCCTGATAGAGAAGGCTTCTTTGGCCTGAGACAGTAATTGGCTACGACAGAGTGCGTTGTGGAGATTCTGAATAGCACCCTGCATTTCTCTCAGCTATGAGTGACTGTCAGTGGAGAGAACGGAGCAAGCCAAGTAGCTTCAGGCAATAAAAAAGTCCAGAAATTTATTTAAGATGTTCTCTCATACATTGTTCAGTAGGAGCCATGCCATTTTAATACAAATGAAGGGTTTATATGTATTGTTGCTGTGTGTCCCAAGTTCATTGGTCGTTATGTACTATTTAACATATGGGTTTGTGAAATGTACACTTATTATAAAGAATAGTTGATAAAGGCAGTTTTTTACTATTCTGCAAGGGTGTGATCCTTCTATTCATGTAGGGGAACTTAGAATAACCTTTCCGGATGAACTGCTTTTTCCAGAAGCCTTCCAGCAGCCTGTGATGGGAGCTCCACTGACAAGGGCTATTGTGTTATTAAGAGCTAGTTCTCTTCCCTCTGTCACAGGTGCTGCGACAAGAGACTTTGGACAAAAATTGACTTGAGTAGGTGTAAGGCCATCGTACCCCAGGCTCTCAGTGGTATCATCAAGAGACAGCCAGCTAGTCTCGACCTCAGTTGGACCAACATCTCCAAAAAGCAACTGACGTGGCTGGTCAATAGATTGCCAGGTAGGTGAGCTGCCAGCCCTGTCCTTCTACAACCCAAGAAGGTCCAGCTGGGAATGTTGCTGTTGGTGATAACATTGGCAATACCATTTAGCATTGCTTTAGGACAGCTTGTGGCTATGGTCCTGTGTCATTGTTACCTTTTGCCTGGCATGAGATTTACCCAGGGCCACCTTAACTATCCATCTCTGAGGAGTCAGTAGATAACAAATAGGATTGGGTATTGCTGCTAGCTCTCGTAGGTTTCCATCATCAGTATAGCCACTGGAGAGATAACTTGAATCAGATGTTGCCTGGAGTGTGCCCTTGTAAGTCCTTGTGCATTTTGAGGTCTCAGAGAGAAAGCCAAGCAATCAGTCTACCACCAGAGCAGAAGTAATAGAGTACCATAGAAATCTTTAGACTTGACTAGGGCATAATCTATCTCTCCTTAGACTGGAAACTCAGATCAGCTGGTTATTGAGGCTCTCAATGTACTCTTAAGCAGTGTGTTGCATGCTCTGTTTCTGTTGCTTGCAGGACTGAAAGACCTCCTCCTAGCTGGCTGCTCTTGGTCTGCTGTCTCTGCCCTCAGCACTTCCAGCTGCCCCCTTCTCAGGACCCTTGATCTTCGGTGGGCAGTAGGAATTAAGGACCCTCAAATTCGAGATTTGCTGGCTCCACCAGCTGATAAACCAGGTATGCTCTGGGCCTGGCTTCTGTGTGCTTATCTTGAAAGGTACTTTTGTCTTTCAATAGAACTCCTTGACTCCAAGGTAATCTTAGAATGAAGCTACGGGAGGAGGGAAGAGTACAAGATGAAGATAAGAGTAAAGGGCCTTGCACAACTGTAACTTATTTACAAGTAGATAATTGCCACAAAGGAAGAAGCCCCTTCTGTGGGTCACTGGAGTTTGAAGCCCAGAGAATCTAAGCCTAAGGAAGTCTCACAAGGCTGGTTCAGGTGGAACATTGAATGACTGCCTAGAAAATCATGGGAGTGTGGGAAGGAAAGGAGCATTCTGCATATAGCCATGTACATGAGGCATAATCTCGCATTGCAAAGAAAGCAAACTCCTCTTGTTTTCTAGAAACTGTCCCTAGACGTTGCTCACTCTCAGAAGCAGAGTTGGGTGTGGGCAATTCAGCCTCATCTCATCAAGGTGGCTGGGCCAACACGTGCTGCCTGGGGCTTTGAAGCTGGATTATAGAAGAGTTTTGGAATCTTTAAAAGTTATAATTTCCTACTTGGAGAGCAGGAAATGTTTCTCTCCTCCTCTTTCTCTACTTCAACCTGGCTCTTGAGCCATCTAGCTAGCTGGGGGGCTGGGAAGGTGGCTTAGTGGTAGAGTGCTTGCCTAGCATGCATGAAGCCCTGGGTTTGATTCCTCAGTACCACATACACAGAAAAAGCTAGAAGTGGTGCTGTGTCTCAAGTGGTAGAGTGCTAGCCTTAAGCAAAAGAAACTCAGGGACAGTGCCCAGGCCCTGAGTTCAAGCCCCAGGACTGGCAAAAAAAAAAAAAAGGTTGGGCACCCAGTAATCCTAGCTATTCAGGAAGCTGAGATCTGAAAATCACAGTTCAAAGCTAGCCTGGGCAAGATAGTCCCTGAGACTTTTTTCTTTTTTTTTTTTGGCCAGGGCGTGGGCACTGTCCCTGGGCTTCTTTTTGCTCAAGGCTAGCACTCTACCACCACTTCTGGCCTTTTCTGGTTATGTGGTACTTAAGGAATCAAACCCAGGGCATCATGCATGCTAGGCAAGCACTCTACCACTAAGCCACATTACCAGCCCCTCCATGAGACTCTTATCTCCAATTAACTACCCCAAACCTGGAAGTGGAGCTGTGGCTTAAGTGGTAGAGCAGTAGCCTCAAGTGGAAAAGCTAAGGACAGTACCCATGCCTTGAGTTCAGGCTCCAGTGCTAGCACAATAAATCAATAAATAAAATTTTTAAGTTTTGAGCCAGGTGCCAGTGGCTCATACCTATAATCTTAGCTGCTCAGGAGACTGAGAACTGAGGACCACTGTTTGAAGCCAGCCTGGGCAGGAAAGTCCTTGAGACTTACCTCCAAAAAAGCCAGAAGTGGAGCTGTGGCAAAAGTGGTAGAGCACCAGCCTTGTACAAAAATGCTCAGGAACAATGCCTGCGCCCTGAGTTCAGGTCCCAGAACTGTCACCAAAAAGGAAATTTTATTGTAAGTTCTTTGCTTGCCCGTGCAGGTCAGGACAATCGCAGCAAGCTTCGGAACATGACTGACTTCCGGCTGGCAGGACTTGACATCACGGATGCCACACTTCGGCTCATCATTCGCCACATGCCCCTCCTGTCTCGACTCGACCTTAGTCATTGCAGCCACCTTACAGATCAGTCCTCCAACCTACTCACCGCTGTCGGGTCTTCCACGCGTTATTCCCTCACTGAGCTCAATATGGCAGGTAGGCTGCTACCTTTGTTCATGCTAAGTGTGCCCCTGCTTCCTGGAGACCCAGCTGGGTGTTCTTGGAACAGTAAACAGAATGATTTGCAGTCAGTTGACTAAACCATGTTAGCTCACTTCTTCACATCAACACAAGAAAGGCTTTCCTTCTTTTTTAACTGATGGAGACTGAGGCATGGAGGAGTTAAGTAAGGTGCTCTGTGCAGGGCCACCATCAAACTGCACCCTCGAGCCTGCCAACCCTTGTGGGACTGCAAAGGAGGCAGCAGGAGGCCTTCAGAGGCCGCAGTGCTTGCTGCCAGCACTTCTGCTCTTTGAAAGAGGATCTTTCAAGACTGACAAAGCCTTCATCACGTTAGAGAGGGTTATGGGAACTGAATGGCAAGAAGGAATCTGGAGCTGTGTGTTTGTGACTTGATTCTCTTGCTCATTTTGTCCACAGGTTGCAATAAATTGACAGACCAGACCCTGATCTACCTACGGCGCATAGCCAATGTCACCTTGATTGACCTTCGAGGATGCAAGCAGATCACTCGAAAAGCCTGCGAGCACTTCATCTCAGACTTGTCCATCAACAGCCTGTACTGCCTGTCTGACGAGAAGCTGATACAGAAAATCAGCTAAGACACACCCAGCCTGGACTCATCAGGAAACCAATCTTCCCCTGCCTTCCCACTGAGGAGAGTCTTTCCCTGATCCTGCATAGGCTCCAGGCCAGCGGCACACTCCCTCTCTGCTCTCCTGCCCTGAGCCCTGCTCGCTCGCATAGGTGGGGCAGAGAGAGTGGTGGATGCCAGGCTTGCCTGCCTGCTCCTCTCCCTCCCAAGGAAAAAGGAACAGCAGTTGATCCAAGAGGAGAGCACGGGCAGTGCCGTCAGGAGGCCAGGCTTTCAGTTTGGGATGTTTGTGCAACTTTCACTTGTACCAGGCCCACGACCCGCTTTCCCACCTGTGGTCCCCAGCAGCGCCTGGTTCTGTGCAAACTCTAGGGAAGAAAGTGCCCTGTCCTCGTGGCCAGGTTCTCCTCGCGGTGTCCAGTGCGTGTCTCCTCCATCTCACTCTCCAAGCTTCTGCAGGAGGGGCCAGCAGCCCCAGGATGCCAGGCCCGGCAGGTCCCACTGGTGCTGTGATAACTGAAGCCTCGCACCAATGTCTATACGCTCGTCCTCATTTCCTGTCCCTGAGCTTGATGCTGTCTAGCACTAGTAGCACCCGTGCTCATTCACACGTGGCTCCCTGCGACCCACCTGCCCCACCCAGCTTTCCCACCAGTCTCTGTGAGGTCTTTGTTGCACTTATTGGGGTTGAAGCTCTTCAGAGGAGCATGGAACTGTACCCCGAGGGACACCCCCATCTCATTGCTACCCAGACAGATTCTGAGACAGGCACCATCTCTTTGTCCCCCTCTCTTGCCTCCCACTCACTGCCCTTTTCCACGTGTCCTCGTCCCCACCTGAATTGGGTTTTCCCAGGATGCATGTCCCCAGAGGGAGCAGCCTGTTCCCCGGGTGAGGGGAGCAGACGAGTGGCCGAGTCTCCCTCTGCCTCTAGACCAGGCTTTTCTGGGCCTTTGGTTTAGTGTAGCCCCTGAGCTCAGGTCTGTGCATTGCCTCGCGGCTCGCCGACCTGATACCTTTTGAGGGGAGGAGAGGGGTCTTGCTTGGAAGCCAGTCACCCACCCTCTGCCCACAGATGTGGAAAGGGGGTGTGCATGTGCCTCTGTGTGTGTGTGTGTGTGAGTGGCTGAGTGTGCTGCGCGCGTGTGTACAGGAGAGGGGAGCATGGAATTCCCGCTCCACCACCCTTCGTCAAGCCCCATCAGCTGCCCTCTTTTACTTTGCATTGAACGGCCTGTCCAAAGATCCTCTCTCTAGGGCAGCAGAGAGCTTTTTGCACTTTAAAAAGAGAAGGAGAAGAAAGGTCGGAATTTGTTTTGGGTCAATATTTAAATGTGTGAGGAGATGCTCAGTAGCAGCAGCCAGTGGCAAGTGTATATGATAGATGCAAATTTGCACTCTGCTCCCCATCTGTAGGAGATTGATAGCACAACCTTGCCCCACCCCTTCCCCTCCTCTTTCCTGTAGCCCAGTCTCGGGCCTTCCTCCCAAACCCTATTCTGAGGGGACAGAGCCCCAGCACCAGGGGTCTGAAGTGTGAGCCACCTGAGGAGAGATGCCAACTGCACCCTTGCCACTGCCAAAGCAATAGAAGCAGAGAGGTTCCCTCTTTGTCACCTAGCCCAGCTTTGATCCTGGCATTAAGCCACCATTTTAGGGAAAACTGGGTCTGGTAGGGGTAGCATTGTGTCTGTTTCTTCCAATCTGCTGATTCTCTTGGCTGCACCTTAAAAACAGCAGCAGCTTGCTCCCGTGACCCTTCGCCCCTTCCATTGGTCTCCAGGCCCTAGCATTCTGGGGCCAAAACCTTGAGGAAATTCCAGTGACTTATTCCAGAGTGCCTCAGTTAGGGGAACTTCTCTGTAAAGAACCCTGGGTATTGAGCAGAAACCTTAGTATTGTCAATGACCTATATGACCGGACGCTTCCTCCCCTCGCCCTCCCCTTTTTGGTTGCTCCTGTGGAAAATACTGAAAAAGATTACTAAGTTTTGTTGTCTTTTCATAAAGGAGGGGAGCAGGCGAGGCCCCTTCAGAGCAGGGATTGCGCCGGGACAGTGCCTCTGACTTTGGGACATTTCACCCGCAGAAATTTCCAAACTGATGGTTTGTTTTGGGTTTTGTTTTTGTTTGTTGATTGGTTGGTTTGGAAAACAAAAAACAAGCATTTGTACCGTGCACGTAAATTGGTCAGGCGTAAGGGAGCCCAGGATGGTGGCAGATGGACCGACACCTGTGCTGGCTTTTCCCTTTCTTTGGGACCGTGAGGGACGAATGGTTTTAAGAGGTGAGGGTGGGCCCATGGGGAAGAGAGGACATCTCTGGGAACAGGGGAGCTGGGGAGTTCCGTCGTATTCCTGCATCTACTCTTAGCTGCAGCCGTGCCGAAGAGCCTGCCCTCAGACTGTAGGGCCTGACCTCTGCCTCCATCTTTCCATGTACCGGGGCAAAAAACCACAAAGGAAAGGAAGAAAATTTATATATATATATACATATATATAAATAATATAAAATCACTTGGTGATTAAAAAAACTGCTCCATAAATAAAACTCCTAAAGTCACTATGTTTAAAGGGTTTGGTTGTGTTTTTTGTTTTTCGGGAAAAATATTGTAAATATATATTTTTTTGTTGCTGATTTAGAGTCAATCTCCAATGTTGTGCTAAAATTTTTAAATTAAATGTAAGCATTAAGGGGATGAATCTTACTATCTCAACACATTACGGTTATTTTGGGCCAGGGGATGGAGGGAAGCTAGTTGGACTTTGTTTTGTTTTCTAAAAGTTCTCCACTTTGGGATTTAGAAAGAGTAAGAATGTCTTTCCTCTGACACATAGGAATGGGAGATATTTGTGTAATAAAATTTTTAAAAGACAAAAAAAGAAATAGCCTCCAATGGGAAATATTTTGATTTGGGTTTTTGTTTTGTTTTTGTTTTTAAATAAAAAGACTTTAAAAACAAAAACTAACCTTTTTCTGCTTTGGCGTGTGTGTCTGTGAGAATGAGTCCGGTCGCACAGGCTGGTGCTGGTGGCCGTGGCCAGGATGCCACCGCTGGGCAGCAGCGCTGTGCCCACGTCTACGACTCGGGCTCCTTACTAGCTTTTTGTTGTTTCGGTGACAACAACAACAAAAAAAAAAAGCTTAAAGCAACACTTCTAGAGACACCATACTTGCTTCATCAAGGTGAACTTTTTTTTTTATAATGTTCAATCTCTCCCAAAGCAAAAGAAGTAAAAGGATGGTACTTAAAAGAGGCCTAGGTGCCTGATGTCCCACCCCTGACAGGCAACAGGATGAAGCTACAGAAAGCCCTCCTCCCCCCAGGCAGTGCCTGAAGTTGCCAAGCAAAGCAGCTGTGATTGGCATTTTCTCCACTTCATCCCTATGGCTGGCATTTCCTGTCTGGCAGGTGGAGAACAAGCTTTCAACCTCTAAACAAAGACCAGACACTGGCACCCCTTTGTGTGTCTCAGGAAAGTTGAGCTGGAAACCTGGAAGGGTCTGAGCAAGCAAGCATTGGTCACACTGCCTTGTTTGAGTTCCTCTCTGGTTCTGCTGTGCATCCTAGAAACTGACAAGACATTGAGTCCATGATGGCCTGATAGGATGTTGATCTCCATGATGGATGTGGTTAACAGAAGGCAGAAAGCATCAATTTTGCCTCTTGGGTATCTTAGAGACATGCCTCTCGGTATCCTCATCCCTGCCACCCTACGTGGAAGCCACAGTCCTAAGCAATCTGGCAGCCTGCAGTCCAACCCTATTTCCATGTTGATAACCAGAACATGCCTAAAATCCTAGCTCCTCAGGAAGCTGAGAATCACAGTTGAAAGCTAGCCTGCACAGGAAAATCCATGAAACTATCCCCAATTAAACACCAAAAAAGATGCAAGTGGAGCTGCAGCTCAAGTGGTAGAATGCTAGCCTTGGGCAGGGGCGGGGGACTCCAACAACATAGCCAAAGGCTAAGCTAGAGGCATGGCTGAAGTGGTAGAGTCCCAGCTAAGCAAGCCAAGCAAGAATGAGGCCCTGAGTTCAAACCCCAATGCAACGACAACAAAAGCTATTTCCTGGAACCTTCTGGTCTTGAGGGTACCTCTAAGTAGTCAGCCTGCCCACCTGACTTGTAAACTTCATGGGACAGAGATCAGTCTTGCTCACCTATCAGCTGGTACAGAACTGAGCGCTGCAAGTAGCTCACTTGGGTTACCTGCACACTCTTGCAACCTTCCAATATCCAATCACCTTTTCTACTACCTCATACTTATTTCCCTGCCTTCCTTTTTGAAGAGGAGAGGGGTCCTTTTGTGTTCAGGCTAGCTTCAGCTTCCTGAGTAGCGCCGCCACAGTACACACTGCACCCTGGCCTCCCCTTCGTTAGTCCTGCCTTGTGTGCACACACAGGTGCTAAGAAGGGCTGCAAACCACTGGCTGCCTCAGTGGTCCCCAGGCTTGCTGGATTTAGCCTGCACCTCTCTACCACAACTAAAAGTCTGTCCTTCCTTCAAACATGTCTTTAGAAGCCTGTCTTGTTTCTCTCCAACCAGGAAGGGCTACTGCTTCAAAGGCAACAACATGGTGTCAAGAGCTGACATCCACTGGGCCTTTCTAACTGGTGGCCACTGTTCTGAGTACCTGACACATACCAAATTGCATCACCTGCGAGCAGCTCTACTGTCACGTTTAAAGATGAGAAACAACTTTGCACACTGAACAGTTCTCCCAAAGTGACTTGGTTAGTCAAACCAGAGACAGCCGAGTGTAGCAGTTCACACCGCTAATCCCAACTACTAGAGGCTAAAGGAAGAGGATCACAAATTTGAAGACAGCCATGGGCTAATTAACTCAGAACCAAATCCAGAGACTGGCTCTGGAATTTGCGCTATTGAGGCTGCAGAAGTCCTACAGAGCACGAACCCACAGGAGGTGAAGTGTTGGGGCTAAGAGCCAGTGATAAATTTGGGACACTGCAATCTCATACTCTGCTGAGCATCCTGGTCCACAGGCCTGCTGGCCCACACTGTGCCTTTCTGACACTTCTAATTCCTCGATGCTGGTGCTAGCCTTAGCAGCTCTACTCCTGGGTCTGCCCCAGGAGTGAGAAAATGAGGAAATTTTCAGATCACGAACGTAAAGATGACAACGGGGCACCCGTTATCCTAGCTACTCAGAAGGTTGAGATCTGAACCCAGCCCTATCTGGCAGACAAAACAGAGACTCTTCAATTCCAATAAACCAGCAAAAAGCCAGAAGTGGAGGTGTGTGGGTTGAATGGTAGAGTGCCAGCCTTGAGCAAAACCAACGGAGAACAGGAGAACGAGGAGGAAGTGGAGGAGAAGAAAAGGGAGGAGAAGAAAGGAGTGGGAGAGGAGAAGAGGAAAGATTGGGGTGGGGGAGGAAAGGGGGGGAGAGGATTAGCAGGACCAGCTTCATGGTTTCATGGACAAACAGCTGTGTATGCCAAGGCCTGGAGCTTATTCCTAAGCTCTGCTCTTGCTATTCTGAAAGTCTTAATGCCTTCTGAACAGAACATTCTGATTTTCTGAGGGTCCTGGGAATGATGGAGCAGGTCTGGGGTGGGGGCAGCCTCCCAGCTCCCTCCAGGCCGCCTCGGCCCAGCGAACAAGCCCAGGCCCGGCGCTGGCTGGCTGCGGGGACCCCCTCCACCCTCTCTCCAGGCCACAGGGGTGCAGCCCCCTCGCCCGGGGGAGCCCCTCGGAAGGAAGGAGCAGAGGCGGGAGCGGCCGGCAGCGATGCTTGCCCAGGGCGGCGGTCGGGCCCCGGCCTCGTCCCCTGCAGAGGCTGCGGGCCGAGGGCTGGGTGGTGGGAACCACGCCCGGAGCCCCGAACCGGGCAAGGACAGGCAAAGGTGGGGGGGCGGAAGGCCAAGACGCCCCGGGGCCCTGGCCCCCGGCAGGCCGGCCCAGCCCGGCTGCAACCTCCTTAACCCACGCAGTCCCGGGAGCACCCGCTCTAAAAACAGCGGTTCGAGCCCCAGGAACGGCAAAAAGGAGAACATGGCGCTGGGACCCAACCCCAGGTCCTCTCCATCTCTTCCACCGCACTCCCCACCCCACACGGCAAATACCAGCGGCCACGGCGTGGGGACTACGGGCTCGCGGTCCAACTCGCAGGCGGGCCGAGAAAACCAAGCCCCAAGCACGGCGGCCGGGCGCGAGGCCGGGACGCATGCGCGATAGGCTCCGGAGGGCGCGGCCGTGTGTGGGCGGGGCGAAGGGTGCTGGCGCTCGGCGGGGACTAGACGCTCGGGGAGGGGCGGAAGGCGGGGCGGGGAGGCGGAGGAGGGACCTGGGCGGGGCGGGGCGGGGGAAGGGGAGATCAGCGGAGGCCGGAAGGGAAAGGACTTGAGTCTCTGGTCTCGGCAAAGACTTCGTGACGCAGAGGCAGCCACCCGGGACAGAGCCGGGACACAGTGACCTTCTGAAGGGTCGCGGAGGAAGGAGTCAAAGGTCCTGGCACGGTCCACTAGGAACTTCTAAGTAAGGCCCTAAGCTGGCTCTGGTGGCTCACGCCTAGCTACTTAGGAGGATCGCGGTTCAAAGCCAAGTCCACAGAAAAGTCCCTGAGACTCATCTCCGAGTTCAAGCCCCAGGACTGATGGAGGGGAGGGGGCGGAGAGGGAAGGGGGAGAGAGGAGCACAGACAGAGAGAGACAGAGAGAAGAAGAAGAAAGAAGGAGGAAAGGAGGAGAGGAGAAGGAGAAGGAGGAGGAGGAGGAAGAAAAAGGAAGAAGAAAAAAGCAGCAACAGCTGGGCCTGTCATCCTAGCTACTCAGGAGTCTGAGAGCTGAGGATCACAGTTCAAAGCCAGCACAGGCAGAAAAGTCCGTGAGACTCTCATCTCCAATAAACCACTAGAAAACCAGAAGTGGCGCTGTGACTCAAGGAGTAGAGCGCTCGCCTTGAGCTGAAGAGCACAAGGACAGCGCCCAAGCCCAGAGTTCAAGCCCCACACCGACCAAAAGAAAAAAAAAAAAAAAAAGGAAAGAAAGGCCCTGAGTCTGGTGTTGTGGGGGCATCCATAAGAACCAAGCCCCTTTCCTTCCTCAGGGCCTCTGAAAACCTCTTTTATCCCTAACAAATGCTTCCCCGCCCCTCCCTCTTGGTTCCGGGGAAAGTAGCCCTTC